GGCGCAGCCCCATGCCCACCCTGCCAGCGCTGCCACAGCTGCGCCTCCCTTCCTTTGAAGCCCCGAAACTGACGCCACGCTCGGGCGCTCACCCCACTGCAACAAGGGCAAAGAAATGTGGGCTCCCCTTCCATCGCATCCCCTAGAAGAACAGAAAAGAAAGGGCCTTCCTCAAATGATGGCAAAAGGGGGATTTTTACCTCAATCCAAACCCTTTTAAAGAAGGGACAACAGGACTGCCCCCTCCATTTCAAACTCAGGATGATGAAAAAGTGGGGGGGGGGGGGGGGGCGCTACCCTTAAGTCAAACCCATCATACCACAATATTTGTCCCGTTCCATTTAAAAGAGAACGCAGGGATTCCCTATCTCCCCTGTGACATCCCTAACATCCTGGAAAAGGCAGGTTTTCCTTCAATCACTACCCTCAAAACCACAAGTGAAGGGGGATCCCCGACTAGTTCAGACACTGTCAATAATGTAAGAGAAGCCGTTACTCTCAATTTGAATTTCTTTTGTCATCAAAATATTTTTTTTTTCCCACGCTGGGAGCACCTTGGAGGGATTGGCAAGACGAAATTTAAAAGGGAAAGGAGAAAAGTCCCCGCTACAAAGGCTCAACGGCTCACCTGTTTGGCCGTTGCTTCTCGGCACAAAGGTTTGTCCCCGAACCCTGTCTGAAGCGCTCACCGTCCTTCCATGAGACAGCCCCGGGAGCCCCCCATAAACTCCTCCAGCAGCTCCGTGCAAAAGCCAGCAGCGGCAAACCCTCACCGTAAAACAACCTCCCCCCGGCAGGAGCCGCCCCCTCCTCCTCATCCTCACAGTTCGCACCTGGGGCTGCTCTGTGTTTCTTTCCAAATAAATGTAGAGACAAAATCCTATTCTTTACCAATAGCTATAAAAACAAAACACTTGCCGGGTTTCAGTAGTCTACACACAGCCCTCCCTGGGAAGTTTGGGGCAGCTTTGGGTCCCTCTGCGGGACGGCACCCAGCCTGACCCCCCCCTCATTCGCCACCCACCCGCTCCCCCACCGCAGTGTGCCTCCCTCTCCTAGGGTCCTTGGGGTGCCCCAAACGACATCAGAGCCCCGAGTCTTCAGCCCCTTTTCCCGACCCCCAAAGAAGGCACAGGACGAGTCCAAGCGCCCTGCACAGCAGCCCAGCACTCCCTTCCAGCCCTTTCCACACCTCCATCCCCCCAGAAAGGGACTCCGCCGCAAAAGGAAAGGGGGGGCAGCCCCCAGAAGACTTGAAGCTCCCGCCCCGCCTCGCTGTCGCAGGCCAGGGCCAGAAATTGGGAGCGGCAGAGGCGGCGGGGACGCGGCACGGCCGGCACGGCGCAGAACGCGCCGAGGCGGGGCGGAGCTGCGCTTGAAACAAACCGAGCCGGGTGCTGAGCACAGCCAGGCCCCGGTCCCGCTGCGGGGTTATTACGCGGAGCAGAGCCCAAGGGACAGGCTCAGGAGAAGCCGTGCGGACTTGCGCCTCTTCTCTGGGCAACGGGATGCGACACTCCCAGCCCTCGGGTCGGGTGGGAGCCCTCTGAAACCGGCGTCTTGCTCACTGCAGTCATGGAATAGAGCCCTGGAATACCCCGAGTTGGAAGGGCCCCACAAAGATCACCCCAACAATCCCACCCCGTGCGTCCCTGACATCGCTGTCCAAGCACTCCTGGAGCTCTGACAGCCTCGGAACCATGCCTATGCCCTGAGAAGCCTGGTCAGTGTCCAGCACCCTCTGGGGGAGTAACCTTTCCTGATACTCAGTGTAACCCTCCCTTGACAGAGCTCCAGCCGTTCCCTGGGTCCTATCACTGCTCACAGAGAGCAGAGATCAGAGCTGGCCCTCGGGAGGAAGCTGTTATGTCATCTTTAGATAAATCCTGTATTTCTTTTGGACATAGATAAACTAAGTCTCATGAGGTCGAATGAGGGAGCAGGGGATTTTGTTATTTGTTTTTGTCTCCTCTCCCTCTCCTGCCCCTTGGCACAGGACTTGTCCCTGCACACCTCTGAGCAATCCTGCAGGTCCTCCCTAGCCCCTGTGAGATGCTCTCACCACCACTCCTTGAGAGACTCCCTGGGATCCCCTCTCTGGCAGTTCTTGGCAACAGGTGCACTGAGGTGACACGCCCCCAGCAGCAGCATCCGCCCCTCCTCATCCTCACTGACCTCACCTGAGGCTGCTGCACCTCAGGAGGTGGAGACTCCCACGGCGGGGGGAGCTGTGTGAGGAGTCAAAGGTGAGGGGCGACCCAAAGGGCTCCCCAGGATGTAGCTGTGCGAACAAAGGTTCATAGAATGGAGAAAGCTCAACAGTATTTGTATTATACACACACACTCATGATAAAAGTCACAATTTTTAATAATTAAAATATCAGTGGAAGTTACTGGCTAGTTAAAGCAGTGAGTTTCATACAGCATCACACCTTTATGGATTTATCAGAAGCAGAAGTTTCAGGTTCTTTCATCTCCTCCTAACACTTGGGAAAGACATTTTTAACCAAACTGCTTGGCAATTTTCTCATTTGAATAAAAGTAAGCATTGGCAACAACCAGCAAGTGAAAAGGAAAGCAGAATATCTTGGAGACATGGTGACATGGCTCCTATGACTAGAGCACTGGAATGGAAGGGCTTCGGCTTTCCAGGAAAGGCTAGGAGGATGAGTAAGGGATGTAGCCCTCTATGGATATGGAACTCTGCTGGGGGAAGTACGAGGAGCCAGCTGAGAGCTTGTGGGTGAAGACTGAGGGGAGGGCAGGGACAGGGATACCAAGGATAACAGGAAGGGCTTCTATAGATGCGTTGCAAGCAGAACAGTTGGGATAATGTGGGCCCCCTCCAGAAGGAAACAGGAGACCTGACTACCCTGCACAAAGAGAAGACAGATGTTCTCAAGGACTTCTGTGCCTCAGTCTTCAATGGCAAGAGCTCCAGCCATGCTACCAAGTCGAGAAAGGCAAATGCAGGGACTGGGAGAATGAAGACCCTGAGCCCACTGAGAGGATCAGATTTGAGACTATCTAAGGAACCTGAATGTGCTCAAGTCCATGGGACCTAAAGAGATACACCCCCAGGTCCAGAGGGAACTAACAGAAGTTGCTAAGCCATTATCCATTATTTTTTGAAAAATTGTGGCAGTTAGATAAAGTCCCTGATGACTGGAAAAAGGGAAATATAACCCCCATTTTTGAAAAGGGGAAAGCATAAGACCTGGGGAACCATTTCTACCCAGAGCAATGGTGACAGTGCTACACAGCCCCATGGAGCTGCTTCTCCTATCTGACTCTACATGATCCTCCACTTCCATCACTGTCGTGGTTTGACACAGAAAAAGAATTTTCTTGGAAGGAAGAGGTCAATTTGGATATTGACCAATTGAAGGTGGACACACCTCTGAGAACACAGAGGGGTTAAAAGCAGAATTCCCAGGAGAACTCGCTCTCTTTGGTTCTGGTCAGCGTGCAGTGCAGGACTCTCCCCTGCCCGGCAACGAGCTGGGTGGGAGAGGGGAAAAGCCATGTGGCCTTCGGAGGTAGGCCCAAGGGTGGAGGGGCTGGAACCGGGCTGGCCCCCTGCGGATGGAAGCGTGGAGAAAATCTGGGATGTCTCCATTCCCCCCCTCAGAGTCTCTCTCTCTCTCCAAGAGAGACTGTATTTTAGGAGGATGCCGGTGAGCCAAAGAGACCTGCTTCAACTGGGAAAAGACAGAACTGGAGCCCCCTGTCTTCAGAGAAGAAGAGAAGATCTCTGTTCTTGGAGCCTCGGCCCCAGGGGAAAATGGGAGGGACTGTGGTCCCAAAAATGAAAAACTGAACTGTTGTTTTCTCCCCTCTTGGCAGGGCATCCTTGAAAGGAAAAATCCTAAAAGCAGTCTGTCCGTCCATGCACTGGTGGTGAGAGCACTGTGCATGGAAAGGAGAGGGCCATCATGGCAAACTTTTTTTTCTGGGTGGTGCCACGTGACATGGAAACACAGGATGTGGCAGCTGGGTTTCTTGGGGGGGGTCTGTGGCACGGGAGGGACTCCTCTCTCCCTCGATGGACTGAGTATCGATTGTCTGGAGGGTGGAAACCTGATTGGGGTCCAGATTGTGTCTCGCTGTGGTTTGTTGGAGTTGGGTGGTGGGAAGAGGAATGCTTTGGAAGGTTTTAATTTTGAATTTTGTGTGTGTTTTTTCTTTCTTTTTCCTTTTATAGTAGTAGCTTAATAAAGTTTTTTTCCCCTTGTTATTAAGCTTGGGCCTGCTTTGCTCTGTTCTCGATCACATTTCACAGCATTCAATTGAGAGGTTGCATTTTCATGGGGGCACTGGCATTGTGCCAGTGTCAAACCATGACAATCACCCTTCTCCTCACTGGTCCCACAGGACAGCTGCTGCCCACCTCTGGAGATTGATGGATATTTCATGGGCAAAGGAGCAGTGAGGACGTGTTGTGATGGTGTGGGACCTGAGCAGGACATACACAACACAGATTAATAAAGGCTGGAGAACATGCTGAGCTGGGCAGGAACAGTTAAATTTCTTCCAGTGGGCCTGTGGTTTGGATTTGTGATGAACAGACTGTTGATAGCCCCGGGATGTTTCAATCAGTGCTGAGTATCAAGGCCTCTGCTGCTCCTCACACCATCCTGCCAGCAAATAGCTGCGTGTTGCCAGGAGTTGGGAGGAGATAAACTCTTCAGAAGGGCTCAGCAAGGAAGGAGAAGCAGCAGGGTAGCCCTGTATATAAGGGTGTGTTTTGACTGTCTAGGAATTGACAGTGGTGATGAAAAGGTTGAAGGCTGATGGTTAAGAATTAGGAAAAGAGAAGATACCAAAGTGGGAATCTTCTCCGACACAGGGGAAAGGCTGGTAGGCAGATGGTAGTTTCCAAGGGTTAAGGGTCCTTCAGTCTACTCTTAGAGCAGGGTGCAATGAAGTTTCCTGGATTGTCCACAGCTTTCCTCCTATGACAAAGTGACCTGCTTGGTGGGAGAGAAAAATGCTGGGGATGATGTTTATCTGGGCTTTTATTAAGCCTTTGACATCATTTCCCAAAGCATTCTTGTGGAGAAACTGGCTGCCCATGGCTTGGACAGGTCCACTGTTCACTGTAAAAAAGGGTCTGGATGGCCAGCCCCAGAAAGTGGTAGGGAACAGTTTAATTCAGTTGGTATCCAGTCACAGTGGGGCTCCCCTGCGCAGCACTGAGACCAGTTCTGTTTCTATCAATGACCTGCAGGAGGTCATTGATAGACCCTCAGCCAAATTGTAAAGGATCTGCCAGAGGACAGGAAAACTCTACAGAGGGATCTGTAGATGCCCAGGGATTGCACTGTGCCAGGCAGTTCCTGAAACCCCCTTCTCCCCTACCACTCCCTGACTACTCATTCTTAGTACACCCTTTTTCTGAACTGGGTCCAGCACCGCCGCCACAACTGGGGCTTCACGCGGATGCTGAAGCACCGGTGGCGCTGACCATGGCGTGTCTGCCAGGCTTCCAGGTATCTCCGAAGGCGGGCATGCATCTGTCCCAGGAACCTTCCTGCAGCAGTACTGGTGCTGTATTCCAGCTCCACTGAGCTGCTGCTCCTGCTGCTGCTGCTGCTGCTGTTGCTGCTCTCCAATACATTGGGATTCATGATCACCACTAGTCTAGGGAGCAACCTGGCTAGCGCCACAGATCTTCTGCGTCGCAGAATCATGGAGCTGCTGCTACTGCATCGTCTTATGTTCTTAGGTTTGCTCTCTTCTGTCACCTTGTACATGTCTGGCCTTGCCAACTCCACTCCAAGGCACTGGGGACACTCTTTGGCCCCCAGCAGCCTTGGTGTAACATGCAGATCAGCCTGGACCACCCTGCCGCTCCCCCGGCCCCATCGCCACTGGGACAGCTGTGCCTCCAGCTCCTTGCGGTGCTCCTCGAAGAGCGCCTGGGAGTCCTGGCAGCTCCGGATAAACCTTGGGAAATGCTTCCTGGAGCTCATGGAACAACGTGGGGAGCTGCCATGGGGCAGCTCCATCTCTGCTGATCTCCGTGCTCTGCCCACGTTGCTCTGCCCCTCCGGCTGGCCGCTTGCTGTGCTCGCGTGCTTTGAGTTCTGACGGATCCTCTGCAAGAACCCCAGATGGGCGAGACAAGAGCAGCTCTCCAGAATGCACCATATTGTCCTGCCACGCATGCCACACCAACACACCCCAAATCCACACGGCCCAGCCCAGCCCATACAGCAGATCAGAGGCCACCTACCCATAGACACTTGTCCCGTAGCACGGCAATGACCAGAATGAGCTGCAGCACCACCATCGTGACTGCCACCAGCTCACCCAGGGTGAAGATGTTGAGGAGCTCCATGGCACTGTCTGTGGCAATGCAGGTCACCACCACAGGCTGGTGAAGAGGCTCCCCAGTGACCTGCGGGGTGCCAGTGATGGAAATCCAACCCTGGTGGGGTGGCAGAGGCCAAGGCTGTTGGCTGCCAAGACACTGCCAGACTGCTGTGCCCAGCACTGTCTGCTCCTGTGGGGCCCCTTTTATAGCCTGGCAGTCTGGCAGAGTCCCCTGTGTGACATCATGGAGCAGCCAGAACCCTATTTGTGACAATGTGGGGCAGTCAGAAATCCCTTTGTGACAGCATGGGTCAGACAGAGCCCTCTGTGTGTATTCCTGGGGCAGTCAGAACCCCCTTTTGGAGACCCAGGAGCCCACAGGAGTACAATGGAGAGCCCTTGCCGCCTTGGGCACAATGGCCATGCATGCCATGTTGCCCTGCTGAAACCTTCGGGGTTCTGTAAGTCAGTCAGGTGCTAACAATTTCCTTTCATATAATGAATCTGTTTTCATTTGTTGTTGGATCTGTAATTGCTGGGAGCAGGAGGAGGTTAACTGCTTCATAAGATAGATCTCTTTTGAATAGACGATTTGTCTCAATTTCATGAGCCTCCATGACACAAGGGCAGTGATCATGCCCCTGTGCACTGGTGAGGTTGGACTTCAAACCCCGTGTTCAGTTTTGTGCCCCACACAACAATAAAGACATTGAAGTTGCTGGAGTGTATCCAGAGAAGGGCAATGGAGCTGGAGAAGGGTCTTGTGCTTTAACCCCAGCTGGAAATTAAGTAAGGAATAAAAAGTGAGAAAGAAACTGATAAAATGCGACGATTCAATAAATAGAAACAAATTCCAAAAATACTGGATGAGAGAAAAGAAAACAGAGAGGAAAAACAAAGTCAATATTAACAATTTCTCTGCACCCAACAACTGATGTGCAGTCAGACACTCATCATGAAATCACAGATTGGTTTGGGTTGGAAGGGACCTTAAAGATCAAGTACCACTACCTTGCCATGGGCAAAGACACCTTCCCCTGGACCAGGCTGCTCCAAGCCCCATCCAACCTGGCCTTGGACGCTTCCAGACAAAGGGCAGCCACAGCTTCTCCAGGAAACCTGTGCAGGTCCTCACCACCCTCACAGAGAACAATTCCTTCCCAATTCCTTCCAAATTCCCAATTCCTTCCTGGCAGAGGGAAGCTATTCCCCCTTGTCCTGGCCCTCCAGGCCCTTGTCCAAAGTCTATTTCCACCTCTCTTGAAGTCAGGGGCTCTAAGGTCTCCCTGGAACCTTCTCCTCCCAAGGCTGAACACCTCCAGCTCTCTCAGACTGTCTCCAGAACAGACAGGCTCCAGCCTTTGAGCGCTCTGTGGCCTCCTCTGGACTCATTCTAGCAGCTCCATATTCTGAAGGACCAAATGCCATCCGGAGGGACCTGGACAAGCTCAAGAAGAGGCTTGTGGGAACCCACGAGGTTTAACAAGACCAAGTGGTGCTGCATGTGGACAACCCCCAGTATCAAACCAGGCTGGGGATGAACAGATCAAGAACTTGGAGATGCTGGTGAATGAAAGGCTGGCCATGCCCTGGCCCTGTGAGCTGGGCTGATCCCACAGTGTGAGCAGCAGGGGAGGAGGGGGATTCTTCACTTCTGCCCTGCTCTGGTTAAGATCCCACCTGCAGTCCTGTGGGCAGCTCTGGGGTCCCAGCACAGGAAAGACGTGAAGCTGCTGGAGAGAGACCAGAGGAGACCCCAATATGACCAAAAGAATGGAGCACCTCTATGCTATGAGGAAAGGCTGAGAGAATTGGGATTGTTCAGCCTGGAGATGAGAAGCTTTGAAGTGACCTAATTGTGGCCTTGCAGGGGGCCAAGAAGGATGGAGACAGACTATTTACAAGGGCCTGGAGTGACTGGACAAGGGAGAACAGCTTCTAACTGAGATAGAGTAGGTTTAGATTGGATATTGGGAAGACATTCTTCCCTGTGAGGCTGGTGAGGCCCTGGCACAGGTTGCCCCAAAAAGCTGTTGCTGCCCCATCTATGAAAGTGTCCAAGCCAGGGATGTGGCTTGGAGTAACCTGGTCGTGGAAGGTTTCCCTACCCATGGCAGGGAGGGAGAACAGGGTGATCTTTACAGTGCCTTCCAACCAAACCACACTGTTCTTCACCTCTAAGGACGACTGCTGCCAGCTGCTTTTGAGGTACTTTACAGCAACACAAAGAGCTGTAAAAATGCAACAGCCAGTGAGGCGTCAATCCCTCACTGTAATTGTCCCTCCTGAGCCCACCTTCACAAATGCATTCTGGATACCAAGCCTTGTGTAAATATTGTGCTGCTTTTGGACCTAGAGTGAATAGGTGTCTCCCCAGAGTGCAGCAGCAACGTTCAGCCCTGCTTAGTCCCACTCAGTGACTGGTCAGGATGCTGCTGAGGCTCAGCAAGACAGGCTCTTGGTTCAAGTGTGTCCCAAAGGAGAAGCAGTTTCCACCACCGCCAATAATCAACAGCTCCTTTTCATTTGGCAGAAAGACACTGCTATGATTATGTAGCATTAGTGGCCACTCCAGGTGCTCCTGAAAAAGGAAAGGAGATTTTGAACATACAAGACTTCATGTGGTTCACTGTACCACCTCTGAATGTAGGCAAGAACAGATAGCTAGAGAATACAGGAACAAGTAACCCCTGAAGTGTACTCCTCCATGATACCCACCCACCAACCAACTTGCATTTCAGTGATTTTTTTAATGAGAGAAAATGTCTTTATACTCCCTGAATCTTAATGCTTTTCCTCCCAAGAAGGCAGCCAGTCAGTTTTTGATTCAATGTATATCTCTGCCATCCATGGCCTGTGGCAAAGAGTTCCAGAGATATGTAGCTGGCAGGTTCAAAAGTCTAGAGAGTTTTACCTTAGTCAAAGCAAACAGCTCATAAGCAAAGGAAGACACCAATAATCCATCTGCATCCACTTATTCAGTGTGAACAAAAAAAGTTACATTCTTTTAGATACAACTTTACTATCACTGTACCTATCCTCATGGCTGTCCAAAAAGAGCAGTCTATTTTATCTAAAGGATATGAGGCCACTTATAACTGCTGCTACAGACAATAATTGAAAACTAAGCTACAGTTAAGCATGTTTCATGATTTTATACCCTCAGCAAAATGCTGCAAGGTCAACTGGATGCACACATGCTGTTCACTATAAAAAACAGATTCGTCCCAATTCCAGTTTCACCAACGACAGGTTCCATATTTACAGTTATCAAAAGAAAGTTGTTTCTTTACATAAATAAAGAAAAACTTGTCAAGCAAAAGAAATGTTCTTATAGAATCACAGAATGGTTTGGGATGGAATTACCTTAAAAAATGCCATCTCGCTCCACCCCCCTGCACTGGGCAGGGACAGCTTCCACTAGACCAGCTTGCTCCAAGCCCAATCTAACCTGGCCTCAAACTCTTCCAGGAATGAGCAGCTAAAGCTTTTCTGGGCAGCCTTTGTCAGCACCTTGCCATACTCCTCATAAAAAATTTCATTCATATACCTAGTTTGAAGCTACTGTCTTTAAGATGAAAACCACCACCCTTGTCTTATCACCACAGGCCCTGCTAAAAAGTCTGTCCCCATCATTCTTACAAGCCCCGCTTTAAGTACTGGGAGGGGCTCCCCCCACAGCCCTCTCTCTCTCTCTCAAGGCTGAACAACCGCAACTCTCTCAGTGCATCCTCTCAGGAGATTAGCTCCAGCTCTCTGCTGATCTTTGTGGCCCTTCTATGGATTTCATCCAACAGATCCATGTCTTTCTTTTACTCAAGGCAGTATTATCTGAGATGAGAGCTACTCAGAGATGTAGACCAAGTTTTGGCCAGAGTATGCCAAAATCTGCTGTGTGACACCGCCTGTATGTCTGCTCTTCAGTGATTCATAGAAAAAAGTCACCAAATAGTAAAAGTTGGAAGGGTCCTCCAAGCATCATCCAGTCCAACCACCCTGCTCAAAGCAGGCTCAACTCAAGCAGGCTTTTCAGTAGCTTGCCCAGTCTGGTTTCAAATACCTTCAATAATGGAAATATGACAACCTCACTGAGCAATCTGTTCAGGACCCAATCATCGTTACAGGAAGCTTTTATGTTCCAGTTGAGTTTCCAATATTTCTGTCCTGTTTTTTTTCTCGTATTTCAGGCACCAGCTAGAGCACACTGCAGTTTCCAAGAAGAAGTTCTCAATGAAATTGTATTACAGACCTTCATAAACACTAACTTAGCCTCTGGTTTATCTGTTTCCTTCCTCCACAGACATCCTGAAGTGACTATGCTTGTGCCCATTTCAGTTCTGCTGCCCCTTGTCTGAAAAAGAGCAGTTCCATGTTCCAGGCTTCTGCACATTCCACCTCTCCCTCCCTTTAACTCTGTACGTTCTTTGTGCTGGGTAACAACACTTGGGAATTAGACCCTACCTCTCCATAAAGTTACTATGTTCCTTCACAGGACACTGCTTACCCTGAAAGAAAAATTTCAGTACTTACCACATTAATCCCATAGTTCAAGCAGACACCAGTCATTAAGTCGATGACAGTGACACCTGGCACAGAGGGTGCATGAAACCACACTCCACCAACGAGCAGAAGCTTTCCTTCATGCACATGTGCAGTATGTGAATACCTGTGAGTTCAAAATGAGATTGAACTCCATTAGCAAGGGATGCTGGTAGAGACAGGATGAAGATTCTCTGCTGAATGCTCTAAGCAACCTGTCTAGTTGAAGATGCCCCTAACTCACTGCAGGGAGGTTGCACCACTTGTCCTTTAAGAGGTCCCTTTCAAATCAAACTATTTTATGATGCTATGAATGCCTTCTGCTTACCTTGGGACAAGAGGAGGGTGTGTCTCTATAGTCTGCCACTGAAAGCCATGTTCAAGCTCCCTCAGCAGGAAAACTGAACCCAAGGGCTGCTCAGCTGCTCCCAGACCTCCTGCAATCAGCACACCTCCTTCCCAGCTGCAGGCACTGTGAGAGTGGCGGCTTTCTGGGACTGGACCCTCAACAGTAATCTGAAAAAACACAAGACCAAGGCTGAAGTTGGCCAAGCTAAGTGTCTGCTTAATAGCCAGGCTTTTAAATGTCTTTTCTTGTGTACTTGAAATTTTTGACACCCAACCTTCTCCACATGTTTCTCTAGGAACTGCTCTGTGCTTCCATTTACACTGTCTCTGGTCCTCAGTACATTTAATATAATCAGTCTTTAGAGGCTTTATTTTCACACATTTATTAGAGGTAACTTTATCTGCATTCTTGCAGGCTGCTTTCTGCTCAAGACATTCACCTGGGAACTACAAGTTTGCTTAGAAACACATGGA